AACGAAGCTTTCTCCAGATGATTAAAAGCTATAACCTTTACCAGATCGTGCATCATTCTTATAACCTTCTTTTCTTTCTCATTCAATGTATGCCTTCACACGTATCAAAACAAACCTCTACTATAAATCCTAAGACAGACACTACATCCGGATTTGTCCATATTATCATTCACATATAATATATTCGTTAAGTATATGAGTGAGTAGCAGAAGAGTAAACAATCGGTTAAATACATCAAAAAACAAGACTGGTTTTAAGAACGAAGGAAAATATTGAATGAATATATACACATGAAGATGTAAAGTGAAAGTAAAGAGAAAAAAAAGAAGGGAGAGATCGTTCTATATTCAGAAAATAACATGTTGAATGTAGTAAGTAGCAAAATCGAATAAATTGAATTATATATTCGAGTAGCTTAGACAAACATAACGAATTATTCTGGAAAAATATGGGCTAGAGAGCGAGAGAGAAAGAATAGAAAATCAGGTATCTGTCAAATGAGAGAGAAAAGTAGGAGTAATGATAGAGAATTATTTAAAATAAAGAATAGATAGAATGAAAATGAAACTGTAAGAGGTAAGATATGAGTATTTTATTGTCACTCACCTGCTTCATGCTACAGTGGATTATTCTTTTTCAAGAAAAGCTTGCCAATCTTTAGATCTAATCTCTAAAGTGCAACTCTTCATCGTGCATTTGAATTCTACAAAGCTTCATTTCTGATCAGATTTTATTAGTAATTAGTTTTAAATTGCATTCATATCGAAGTGGCTTAGATATCTCTAAATGGATTAAAGTCAGATGTTTATATCAGATTTAAGTTGAGACATTTTACCCATAGTATTCGAAACTGGATAGAATCACTGAGTTAAACAGATTTACTATTTCTTTTTTTAGTTATTGATCTTTTCGAACAATGTTACACTTGGTGGTATATGTATTAGTTCTACTGAAAATACCTTTCATTCATAGTACACAAACATCAAATAACTGTGTGTTTGCTAACGCCATGTATTCACTTTATGAAAATATATTTCAATCAAAAAACAATACATTAACAATTTTTCCTCTCTATTCATTGAGAAATGTATCTTCGGATAAGCCACTTCAAGCTGGTATGATTTATCAACTATCAGATACTAAATTAGTACCTGTACCACTCTTATTTGAATGTCCAAATCCAACAACAAACATTGTACACTTCTATGAGCCGCTCGAATGTGAATTTACAATTCTTGATCGTTCTATCACATCATCCTATTCTCGAAAGATAAAATCAACCATATCCGAGTCGACTCGTACAACAATAATGACATTAAATTTTCAAACACCTTTCGGTTCATTATCCGGTGCCTATTTTAAACAATCAGACATCATTATTCGTCATTGTTTAATGAAACCTGTTAATTCAACAGCAGACAATTTAATTACTACCAATACATTTGATATGAAATTGAATTTTGAACAAAAAATCGATTCACCATGCATCACAAATCATTGTACACATTCAAAAATTTATCGTTGTAATAGAAATAATTCAAAATGTGAATGTCAAACAAATGTTGAACAATTTCAACATTTATGTGTGGAAATGGAAATCAAAACAAATTGTACATTGACACCTGAAAGATGTTTGAAAATATGCCGAAATAAATATTCAAGTGATCCTGATTGTGTATGTCCAGATGGTACGATGAAAACAATTCGTTATATCAATAATAGTTTGTTAATAATTTATCGGTGTGAACTTCTAATATTGTCGGATTGTGATGAATACAATCGTCCTTGTCCACCTGAGTATATTTGTCAAAAACGACAATGTATTAATCAAAATAGTAGTATACTGTTTTTTAATGAACTACAACAACGATCTGATCCGGCGTTACCTTTACCGTTATTATTAATAGCATTATTAATCGGTGCAACTCTAATTATTATTTTTCTCATAATTGGCCTATTGAAAATGCGTTCGATGAAATCAATCAAATTTGTTCAATCAACAACAGCATATTTACCATCTATTCAACATTTATCATCATCACCGACACTAACAACAACAAGAAATTCTGATTCAACAACATCGAGAAACTCATCATCATCGCCTTGTTCGACGATTTCATCAAGTTCGAAATCATTACAATCAGAAAAATATACGAAAGTTCAAATAACTGAAGATTAAAACTGAGTTTTAATTCTATTTTAAGCTTGCTTGTTTTTTGTATCATTTTATTAATACTAATGAAATGCTCATTTTCAAATCTTCCTCTAGACATCTCATCACAATGATAAATCCAGAGAACTTTTGCAGTAGTTGCGGTCTGATAGAGAAATTTGAATATACCATTGACTATTAATAAAGAAATATGTAAATCAAATAATATGCTGGAAAAAAAAAATTTTTTTTTTCCAGTATGCATTTTTTGTTGTACACGTGGTCTTAGATCCACATTATATCGACAAAAAAAAAATATGTCTCAGCAATGAGTAAGTTAACTCGAATTCAATAGATATTAAGTTTCTAGAACATATCTAAGAGATAAAAATTTCTATGAGTTAATACCGGGAATAAAGGACGCATTTCAAATGCAAATTCGTGGATATCTTATAGTAAAATATTGTCTACATTCGATCGATCAAAAATTCTCCAGATCCTTAAGCGAACTTTTATTCAAAGTACGAAAAAGGTCGCTCTGCTAGTCCTTTGGAAGTGACAAAAAGTATTAGAAAAAATTCTCAAAACTGAATACCCTAGAAACTCGAGATAAAACAGAATAAATCACAGTGTCCGATAGTAAAGGTCATATTTTAAGTAAAGTACGTTAGAATAAACAAGTATTCGTTTGAGATCTTCCATAAGTTTCTTTAAACAGAAGGGCTTTACCAGAAGTTAACACTCATTCGCAAGATTGAAAAATGGTCGGCTGGCGAAAATAGAGGGAGGTACACGAGTGCGCTCTCATTTGGACGCATTCTTATTTTAGTGCGTTTTCAATGAAACCAGCCGTTCTCAAACTATTCTGAAATTTTGAACTGTTTATGTTATCATTGTTTACTATTAGATGTTAGCAATTTTTTATTTTAATTTCAAAAAGCTTGTGAGCATTATTTTGACAATGCAATTTCATCTTAGGAAGAAGAACTATCATGCATGTTTAGCAGAAGCAAAACATCTTTCAATTGCTGAAAACATAATCTAACGGTTGAGTTAGACCTACATTAAAATCATTTGTTACACATTGTACTGTTCTGATGACTTGTTGATATTTTTAATTTTTTCAACCTAGATATGTACTACTATCCTATTTCGGCCAGCTGACCTTGGATCACTCAAAAAAACCTCGAAAGATAGGTAATCGACCATGCTAAGTCGAGTGGTGATGTTTATTTTCAGTTTTGAAGCGATTGAAATCATTAAATTGGATGGATATTTCTGAAATCTTTATATTCGGACGTTATGTCGCGCTATGTGGCGTATTAAGTCGATATTTCAAAAAAAGTTTAATCTAGCGAATTAATTCGCCTCAAAACTGAAAATAAACGTCACCACTCGACTTAGCATGGTCGATTACCTATATGTCGAGGTTTTTTTGAGTGATCCAAGGTCAGCTGGCCGAAATAGGGACTCTCAGGAAAATGCTTATAGTTCCTGAACAGCACAAGCTAAAGAGCTGGGCCTTGTGTATAATAATAGAGAACAATTTTCTCTATCGAATGGTTGTATTAGAATTTCAAATCCAACGGGGAATCTTTTCGCTAGGCAGTGCCCAATATGTCAAGCGAAAACTCACCTGATTAGTCAATTGTTGACCAGCTTTTCGATATTTCTATATAAAAAATATTATTCTCTTTCGAATGTTGAAAACCGCAGATCTATAGCTGCTGCCTATCCGGAGTTATTCAACTTACAACGGAGTGCATTGTTCATTGAAATGGATAGTAGTACCTAAACGTTCAATATCATGCTGACCTGAGACATATTGTGCTTGACGTGTTTCAATCAATCGCCATACAGTCAGGTTGTGTTTGTAGTAAACGTGATAGTTTCGAATGCCACGATCCAACATCATTATTTGTTCGTGAGATAAATGATAATCTTGCCCGAACTTTGATTTCAGAAGAAATTTTTTCCTGTAGACAGTTTTCCATATTTATCCCGGAATAACAAGATTTCGTAGTGATGTCTGGGGTTGTTGAAATATGGAATTTTTATGGTCTAATAGGCGAACAAATAATGATGTTGGGTTGTGGCATTCGAAACTATCACGTTTACTACAAAGAATAAGAATACGCTCGAATGAGAGCGTAGTCAAATGAAGCCCCGTTCTCTCGATCTTAACTAGTAGCCTTCTTAGACGAATGTTTCTTTTTAGAATTGCACCAAAACTTATGCGCTAGTTCTGAAATATGATAACTCGTAAACTGACCGTATAAGATTGGCTTTTTATCCAATGATTTTTAGCTGGTCTGCAGAGACGAGATTACTATGCATTAATCCAGAGACGATTAAGACTTTTGTTTTAAGCTTATACTTTACCATATGCTGTCTAATGTTCCCAGATGAACCAAACTGAACTACAAGTTCTCATTAAAGAACGAACGAAATATCCTTCTTGTATTCCAGCATGAGTATTTTTCAACATGTTTCACCATGTAACAACTTTAACAAAAATAGAAACAACGAGAATGACAAAATATACTGAGAAAAAAGATGACTAAGTCAAAATAAAGCGACTAGCAAAATAAAATATGAAACAACGGAAAACAAAACAAATTCATTCATTGCAAAAAAAGACTAGCCACTGTATAGAATGAAGGAAGAGCATATTAGATTAAGTAAAAATTTCCTAGAAAAATGGGAAGACAAAAAGAACAGTTCTACAACTCGTCTTTATTATCATCTGGATTTGGTGGTGTTTGTTGTTCTCCCTCTTGACCGCCTGGTTGTCCGCCCGTTTGTGCATATAATTTAGTCATAATTGGTGTCACAATATCTTCCAGAGATTTTTTCTGTTGTTTTAATTCATCTACATCTTGTGTTTGTTGTCCCGTTGTTTCTAACCATTTAATTTTTTCTTCCACTGCTGTTTCAATTGTTTCTTTATCTTCTGCAGATAATTTTCCACCTAATTTTTCTTTATCATTTATTTGAGTTTTTAACGAGTAGACATACGATTCAAGTTCATTTTTAGCATCAACACGTTCTTTTACTTTTTTATCATCATCGGCAAATTTTTCAGCATCTTTAATCATACGTTCAATTTCATCTGGTGACAAACGATTTGTATTCGAATTGATAACGATGTTGTTTTTATTACCAGTGCCTTTGTCTTCAGCAGTAACTTTCAAAATACCATTCACATCAATTTCAAATGTGACTTCAATTTGTGGCACACCACCTAGAAACAAAACATAATTTAATTGAACGATTGATATAAAATTTGTCGTATAAGAGAACACTTACGTGGTGCGGGTGGAATAGACGTAAGATCAAATTTTCCAAGTACGTGATTGTCTTTAGTCATTGGACGTTCACCTTCAAATACCTGAAGCAGAAAGCATGATATATTGCTTGAATTAGAGATGAAAGATTATTGTGCTTACTTGAATGGTGACTGTAGGTTGATTATCAGCAGCTGTTGAGAAAACTTGTGATTTTTTTGTTGGAATTACCTATAATGAATTATAAATATAAATTTTTAAGCCATTTTATAAGTATTAAAAATTAATTACTGTATTTCTTGGGATAATTTTTGTCATAACACCACCGACTGTTTCAATACCCATGGTCAATGGATTAACATCCAACAAAACAATGTCACCTGTATTGTCTTCTCCAGAAAGAACGCCTGCCTGTACAGCGGCTCCATAAGCTAAAAGAAGATCACATAAGTATCGCTAAAATATTCTCATTAAAAATTCTTCATTTTCATTACCAACAGCTTCATCAGGATTAATGCCACGTGATGGCTCTTTTCCATCAAAAAATTCTTTAACTAATTGTTGTACTTTCGGTATTCTTGTACTACCACCAACCAAAACGATTTCATCAATATCTTGTTTTTTTATATCAGAATCTTCTAATACTTTTTGTACTGGTTTCATTGTCGAACGAAACAAATCCATATTTAATTCTTCAAATTTGGCTCGTGTCAAAGTTTCTGAAAAATCTTCATTATCGAAAAATGATTCAATTTCAATTTTTGTTTGATGTTGACTTGACAGTGTTCGTTTTGCCTTTTCAACTTCACGACGTAATTTTTGTACTGCACGATTATCTTTTCTTACATCTTTATTTGTTTTCTTTTTAAATAATTTGATGAAATGTTCCATGACACGTTGATCAAAATCTTCACCACCTACGAAGAAATAAATGTAAGTTAAAAGTAAGTTAAATCATAAACATTCTATAATCTTACCTAAATGTGTGTCACCATTCGTTGCTACGACTTCGAATACACCATTATCAATTGTCAAAAGAGACACATCAAACGTTCCACCTCCCAAATCAAAGACTAAAATATTCTTTTCGCCCTCTTTTTTGTCCAGTCCGTAAGCAATAGCAGCAGCTGTTGGTTCATTAATTATTCTCATCACAGTCATTCCAGATATCGTTCCAGCATCTTTTGTTGACTAAAAATAAAATATGAAAATTAGCCAACGAGATTGAGACAAATCACAACGGATTAAACGATAATATAGTTTAGCTTGTCTTTCTGGTGAGATCATTGGAGACGTAAGAAGAAACTGTTATTTACCTGTCGTTGTGCATCATTGAAATACGCTGGTACTGTGACAACTGCATGTGTCACCTTTTCCCCTAAATATGCTTCAGCAATTTCACGCATTTTTCCTAATACCATTGCGCTAATTTCTTCCGGTGTAAATGTTTTTTCTCCTGAACCAGTATTTATTCTAATACTTGGTTTACTACTTCGTTCTATAACTTGAAATGGAAAATGTTTTATATCCGATTGGACCGTAGGATCAGACCATTCTCGCCCAATTAAACGTTTGGCATCAAACACTGTGTTTTCTGGATTAGTTGTCAATTGATTTTTTGCTGCATCACCAATTAAACGTTCACCGTCTGATGTAAATGCAACATACGATGGTGTTATGCGGTTTCCTTGATCATTGGCAATAATTTCAACACGACCACGTTTGAAAATGCCCACACACGAATAAGTTGTTCCAAGATCAATACCGATAACAGTTCCAACATTTTCTTTTTTAGAATCTTTTTCACATAAACAATATGAAGTTAATAAAAGGAAGAATGCAAATAGTTGAAAATTATGCATGGCTGTGTTCATTCTAAAATAGAATAAGAAACGATCTTTATCATAGATATTAAAATGACTGTCTAGAACATATCTATACTTCAAACAAACAGTATCGTAGTTCGAATCATAGTAGACAAGCAACTATTATGAAATTAACGGTCATCAAATGTTAACAATATTTAAAACATAGCAGCTAACGCGACAAAATACATTCAACAACAGAGAAAATTAGAAATCTAACTACAGCTTAGAAAGTAATCACGATATATTGGAAAAAGATATATCTCACTTGCCTACCTAACCAATGTTCTGTTGTATGGTCTTTTGACAGCGACTAACGGGTCCAAACTTCTCGTGTTGAATATTCATTGGGCCACACAGTGCACTATGAGTCATCACATAGTGAGATTGAGCATAAAAGAACACGCTCTAGCGTTATGCATATAAAACTATAAGATGCAATGCTTAGTTTTCGGTTTCACAATAGCCAGATTACCAGCGCGAGCGTCTGGTGAAAGTTACATAGCATGAACAGCGACATCTTCGTGCATTGAGTTTCTGTGAAGTGAGCCCATCGCTTCATATCAATCAACCTTTTTTGAAGAAATTTTCACATTCAAAAACGCTTTCCAATAACCCCCATAGCAAAAGTTACCAGTGCAAATCCTGAACTTTTATTCGCAAAAAATGATGCGAAGAATATCGTGTTTATGTAAACCACAAGCAGTCCAGCCTACAAGGTTGTTCCTGTTCCTATTGTTCAAAAAAGATCAAAGACTCAAGTTCTTATCTTGTTCAAGAGAGAACAAATATAAGTTTTTGATGCTTGAAAACATCACTTGATCAAGAAAACAAGACCTGTTTTAAATGTCAGTGACCTGTTCTTGGATCTGAATACTAAATTACTAAAACTAATTCTCTAAGATAATGACATACAGTGTATACAAAGAAGGAAAGTTTTACGCTCATTAGTTATAAAACAAAAAAAAGAAACACCGCTGTTACAACTAAATATTTAAAGTACTGTTACTAATTCTAGTATAATTTTTCACTGTTCGTTCACTAGCACTTCCAAAAAGCTGCAAATTCCCAGGTGATTGAATCGTACTATCCGATCGTACAAGATCGTATACGAATCGTACGAAATCATATACGATTATGTACGATCTATATACGAATCGTGGTACCTGACTTGTCGTCTGGCTCGTACTGTACGATTTCATACGAAGTTGTATGATCGTATATGATCTTGTACGATCGTATTATACGATCCAGAGGACAAATCAGATACCACGATTCATATATGATTTTTATACGATTTGGTACGATTTTGTCTGATTCAGATACGATCTTAGTAAGATTTTTCGACCTGGGTTGCTGAATCCGAATATGTATAATAAAGTCGGAAAAAAATTCCACTGCAAGTTTGCATTACGTGCATCTTAGAGAAAACAAGCAATAAATAAGAGTGAGCTCGAAAAGTAGTTTCACACAAAACATATTTTCATGATGTGAAACTGTATATCTGTTACTGTACCATATAATGACTATGCATCACATAACTTCACTCAGATTTCATGTCGTTCGCGAAAATGTTGGTGTATCCTTAAATATTTTCCTATCCGATGAGGCGTATACAAAAATTCCTCAGAATGTTTAAAAATCAGGATTTCGTGAAAACACGAAGTCGTACTTCCATGTATCCTAGCTTCTATCGGGAGTTTTGTAAGAACAGTTTATTCAAATAGAATAAACATTAAACAAATGGAACATCAAAAGCAAAAAGGATATAAGATCTGTTCTTTTTTTCTCTTTTTATGCATTTTACGTCTTTCGTCTCATGGCAATGGGCCAGAACCGAAGCCCGTTTGAATCAAGCACTATAATGCAAAGACTGGCTTGATGAAATTGGATCGAAAGCAGGTAAAATGTGGCTTAATTTACTAATTTCATTAGAATAAATAAATGCATTTAAATACTGAGGTGTCAGCCTGATAGGTTATATTCGAAAAGGGAGCACCATTTTATTTTTGGCTTATTTATACATGGTTCGATAGAGCTCAGCGAGCTGACTTACACTTATCTTAAAATGAAAAAATAACTAGAGGTTAATTTTTGGTTGATTTATGGAACTTTTTCTAAACGTTCAAAACTGCAGAACGTGACAGATGATTTTTCTAAAATCTTCGAGCGCTACGAAAAGGCTTAATCATTTTTTTGTGCCGCATAGTTCCAACGAGTAAAACCAAAACAGCTGGTATGTATGCTAAAACTGTATATGATATGATGCACAATGTGATCTATCCATTTTTTGCATTTACATTTTTGATCACTCCTATTTTTTTCGTCGAAGAAAAGACTTCTATCAAGAACATGTTATATTAGCTGTGTCATTCGGATTAACAATGTACATTCTATATTCTAGACTGATGAAAAACCGGCAAAAGAACGACCGGCTTTCAAAAAAGTTTTAGATCGGTGAAAAAACGGCAAAAATTCGGCCGGTTTTCAAATATTTTCAAAAAGGGTAGAAAAACTCATTCTTTTTACTGAAGAAGAGAAAAATGCTAAAAATTTAAAAATCAGTCAATCACCGACCGGTTTGAAAATCTTTCTAGACCGCCAAAAGACCGGCCGGTCTGCCGGTTACAACTCTGATGTAGGGTACACAGGTTTCACCATAGAAACGGAATTTTTTCGCTATTATTTCTGTCACAATCAGAGATACACTCGCCTATTATATGATCAAACTCGTAGCCAAACTATGAGTATCTGACGACATTTTTCTAAAAGAATTACAAGCAAAAAATGTTCATAATTCTCACAAGTATTATGTAAAATCTCATTTGAACTCATGTGTACTTACACATTCAATTAGATATGCACCAGTTCCAGTGTTTAACTGTAAGAGCTGGAACTGTTCAGAACTAGAAGTGTTGCAAAAAAGTTTCTGAATTAATTCAAAAGAAAATTTAAATTCTATCGAAGAAAATGCAAGTAAAAACTCAAAAGTCTTGTAATACGAACGCTTTTTGAAGCTGGAATTTATGGAGTATAAGTAATCGATTATGGAACTCATAAAGGGAGTGCTACTGTGATTCCTCTAACTCACTTAACAATCTCTGTGTAAGTGTAGCTTCGCTCAGAGGTGCGTAAAAAGTTCAAAAACCAGTGAAATTCATAAGGCTTCACAGAGTTCGTCAGTGGGTCATATGAATCACAGTAGCATTCCCTTTATGAGTTCCATAATCGATTACTTATAGTCCATAAATTCTAGCTTCAAAAAGCGTTCCTATTACAAGACTTTTGAGTTTTTACTTGCATTTTCTTCGATAGAATTTAAATTTTCTTTTGAATTCAGTTTTGGAAATTGTTTTGCAACACTTCATGACAGTTCCAGTTCTGAACAGTTCCAGACTATCTAATATGAAGTTACGGTAAAGCTTGATATAAAAAAATAGCCAACGAAAAACTGAATAAACTAGTACATGGACCATAGTCACATACTGTTATCTAAGGAGAAATCGTTTATTTTCGAACATCCCTTATCTAGTGATCGTCCCTCAGCGATTATTTTTCCCCATTTTAATCCATAAATAACAGAAGATGCAATTAGTCTTTAGTATAGCAAAATAGCGCTTTAAAAGCTATCCAGTATTCGGAATAAACAAACTCTACATACCATTGGCTCAATCCACTATAATTCAAATACGAGAAAAATCAAGGAAATGCACTCATATTTTACAGTTTTCGAAAAAGCAATGGGTCAAAATCAAGGAAAATCGGGCCCCCTCCTTTATGTCGAGGAAAAGACTGGGATCAGCTGCACTGATATGAAGTCATAATAAGTCACACAGATGAAGTATATCTGGGAAACTTGAATTCAAAAAAAGGGTCCTGTATATCGAAGAATCATTAAAATTCATCTTATATGATCCGGTATGAAATATTTCTGATAGATCAAGCATTACTGACCAGCAGATGATGCATTTCATGTTAATCAAAATCTGTTGATTCATAGCGACACCTGGTTCAATCTTTAAAAAAGAAAATGAACCCACTAAGCTTGTTTCTCTTTCCGATCTAATTGATGTTTTGTTTCATTCTTTTTCAAACATTGCTAACTTTCGCGTTTTAATATTACATATAATGTGATTAGTCTACTTGTGATTGGAAAGTTTATAAAATATTATCCAGCATTCATTCATTGAATGTACACTTTCGCATAGACGGGCAACTCTAGACTAAAGTCAGTTGAATTTTAACTATCTTGCATTTGTAGTTGCTTTCCTTTCTCTCTAATGTTTGAATGAGTATAAATAATCGAAAGCACTTGAACCGACAATTGTAAAATCCTTCACTGCGTTTTTGTAAAGATAGTGAGAAGAACCACATCATTTCACATACATATTGTGTGCTCAAGTCATGAGGTCTAGAGGAGCCAGTTCAAAAGAAAAGAATTATCAAATAACTTACAGCTTCACATTTCAGGAAACGATACGAGATCCAAAACAATTAGAAAAGTGGTTGCATGAAGGAGCCCAATAGGATTGATTTAAATCTGAAAATACAATCTTTTAGAACATCTTTTAGAACATTCTTTCTCGTATCTAAGGAAGATAGCCACTAATCTCTCCGAAGAGGGAAGAAGTACTTGAGTTGCAAATCTAGCTCTTTTTCTTTCAAGAACCTAACGTCAAGAAAGAATCTAATCACGTCGAAAAATTGCTGGAAGAAAAACTCTCTACAAATAATCTCAAAAGCCTTAAGCAAGAAGCAAATGCAATTGAACTAAGAAATATCATAAAAGCTTCAGTTTGAATTTGCTTCAGAGCATTTTATTCCATCACCCTCAGCCTAACAATTCTCAAACTTTAGTTGAAAACCAAAAATTATTCCGAAGCGATTTAAGAAAAAACATATAACAACAAAAAAATAAAAATAAAATAGCTGATTTTTCTATCATTGTTAACATTTTTAGTTTAGATATAAAAAAAAAACTCGGAATAGAAACTTGAATTTTACAGAATGTCTGCGGTGCCAGTTGCAGAAAGAAATCAAGGTGAGTGTGGAATTAAATTTTTATAAAATCAGCAGTATAAAATTGTACAAATTGTTTATATAGACGCAACAATTTATATCGGTGGCTTAGATGAACGTGTACATGAATCTATTTTATGGGAACTCTTTGTACAAGCTGGACCGGTTGGTGAGTACAACTATTTGTATACTTTTTTGGTGTTTACAATTTTTGTTTTTACTTTAGTGAATGTTCATATACCAAAAGATCGAGTGACACAAGGTCATCAGGGCTATGGTTTTGTTGAATTTCTATCAGAAGAAGATGCTGATTATGCTATTAAAATTATGAATATGATTAAACTCTATGGAAAACCAATTCGTGTTAATAAAGTATATTTTGATCAAGTTGGATTCATCTGAATTCTTTAGTTATTTTCATTTTTGTAGGCATCAGCACATCAAAAAAATTTGGATGTTGGAGCAAATTTGTTTATAGGAAATTTGGATCCAGAGGTACATTTAGTAAAGTTTAGAAAAACAACAGATTATTTAGATGATTTTAATTCATTTAGGTTGATGAAAAATTGCTTTATGATACATTTTCAGCATTCGGGGTTATTTTACAAACGCCAAAAGTAAGTAAAGATAATGTACTGCACTTCTATTGGTTCTTCATTGGGATTATGTCTTATTTTAGATTATGCGTGAGATCGATTCGGGCAATTCGAAAGGCTATGCGTTTATTAATTTTGCTAATTTCGATGGATCAGATACAGCACTCGAAGCAATGAATGGCCAGTATTTATGTAATCGTCCAATAACCGTTTCATATGCGTTTAAAAAAGATTCAAAAGGAGAAAGACATGGATCAGCAGCAGAACGTTTGTTGGCAGCACAAAATCCACTATCACATGCTGATAGACCACATACATTGTTAGTAAATTGATTGAACGTTTGATAAATCTAGAAGGTCTCTAATCTGACAATTAATTTAGATTTGCTGATCAACCACAATATCCACAGCATCCAATTTCAATGCCAGCTCTGCCACCGGCACCATTTCCCATTCATCCATCATCATGGCTTCCATACGGTATGTATTTTGTAAAAAGTATTTTCGTCTATGTTTATTTTCAACTTGGTTTTTTCTTTAAATTTAGGAGCAGTTGGAGGTATGTTGAATAATCTAGGAAACATAATAAAAAAATCAGACTATGGACTAATACGATTGTTTTAACTTCATCTCTAGGCTTACCATTACCTCCTATGTTGCCTCCACCTCCACCTCCATTTGCCTTGACTCCACGACCATCCAATCCATCAACACCTTCAATAAGGTTTGTATTTTCAGAGAGAAAACTCATTTTGATGTATCTCGAGTATATCAGAAACCAGCTATGGGGTCTTTATTTTGCGTAGCTTTCTTATCGACTGTTTTGGAAATAGGAGAATAAACCATCTGACGGTTCGAGCAAAGCACACTCACGGTGAAAGAAAATCGCAGCGGAATGGTTCTATTTTCTCTTATTATGTTTTATATATTTGAGTTTAGCAAAGTTTTTACGTTGACTACCATATTTTTACGTTATTCTTTATTTTTTCAGGCCACCACCACCACCACCATCTAGACCACCTCCTCCACCACTAAATGCGTAGAATTTGTTTTTTCTATGTGTGAATTGTTAATCTTTGTCCCATAATTTTTTTGTGTATGTATATATTTGTTTGTTAGTAAAGCAAACGAAGAAGAAAACAAGAATTTTTCATTTGTGTCGATGATACGATCGGTCTTTATAGTTTAGTGAGAAAGAACATAGTAGATGATACTCGGTTAGATTAGACTATTTTTCTTCGATGGATCATAAAATTACCATTTTTTTCTGTCTTATACAAGTATATTTCTTCGTTACTTTTAAGTTAAATTATAAACACTAAGAACGATAACAGCATGCTTCGATCGTTCATAACCAGTCGGTTTCAAAAAGCAACAAATATTATCGATTTTTTATAGAAACTATTCATTCGTTCAAAAATCAATTATAAGCGCTTCTTAATGAAACCGATGAAGATGTAACAACCATCAACAAAGCAAAAAAAGAAGCAATTCATGGACTAAACATTAAATAAAATAAATCTCGTATGGTGATTCTGTTCACTAGACAATACTGAATTGGAATTAGAGTAAATTAACTAGAAAATAAACGTATGTTACAATAAATGTTTCATAGAAAGAGATAACATGTCTAATGTCTGTAAAAATTCGTGTAGAAGATTATATTAATCAAGTGGGCATCAATCATTATTAATCAAACTTTCATAAATTGTCCTAATTTATGATTAGGACAATTGAAGGTTTATAAGTCCCGCTAGAATTTTCTCAACCAAAAGTTGGTCATTCATAAAGAACATCCAGGTAAAAATTAACGTTTATGGCTCCCTCGTTTCTGTCCAGTTTTAGCTGATCACTTTTTCTCTTCATTTTGATGCTGCCTCTTAAAAGTGAGCATGCTTTTTAGTTGATTTATTTATTTTCAATTCCATGCACGTGCAAATGAATCTAGATAAATGATCCAGACGACTGACCCGTCTTTACCTGGATTCTCTGACTCAGAGTTAACCCAACGAATATTAAACCAGTTTCGTGCCTTCCATCGTTTTATTTACTTTGTTGTATCGATATTAGCTCTTAAAGTGATGATCTTTTCTCTAGATGCAAAAGTTTTCTTGTTGGTCATGGTCAACCATATTTCAACCAAGAGAAGTAGAACAAGTGCGACTAGTCCGGCTGCTCAGAGATCCTTTCTCCTCCCCTAACATCTCGCTTTAATTTAGACATTGAAAGAACTACATCATTCGTGTTTGTTTATATTAATCATCATCGACTGTTTCATCTTGTTCGTGATATATGCACATATAACTATCATGCTCGTTCATTTAGAATAACAGCGTCATTACTTGGCATCAAGGTCTAGCAGCACCAATGGACTTACTCGAGCCGGTTTCGTCAGTCATATAGCGATACTATTGCGACATCTCAGTATAACACACAAAAACCCTGTTACATGAAAACTACGAAAATAAATGAAAATCTTAATCCAGCTTTAAGAGTCTTCGAGATTGTAACTATATAAAAAGATGGATACGAGAAATAACTTGTGATACAGTCGTGATCTTTTTGTATACACGTTCCATGTAAATGAGTGTGTAGTTGTTGCTAATAGTTTGGATGACTATGCTTCATGTATAGAAAACGTCTATCATTTTCATCCGTCCTACATTTCAACCGTTGTACTTTAAGCGCATGAATTATTCAAAAGAGGTGAAGAAGGTTCAGATTGAAAGTGTTAACAATTATTGTTTTTTCGACCCTAAAACAATAATTATCAACAACTGTTTACGGACTTTAATTAATTTTAAACATTAATAATTGTTTCTTTCGTTATAAAAATCGACTTCTGACCTAGGGCTGTGACAGTTACCATTATCGTTACAGTAACTGTAATTGTTGGTCGGTTACCGTTCTTTGTAACGGTAACGTGCAAGCAGTTACCGTACAAGTAACGGTAACGACCAGTTACAAGTAACGG